GATCATGGGTAGGGTAATTCACCTCATGCTTCTTCAACTATCGTGAAGCATAGGCTTTTACCCTCCCCTCCTGCATCAACACCCATCCAAGTCCTTGGATGCTCGCGTCACTATAGACATCGTACCCCATACCCTGTTTGGGTAATGCAAGTACCGGTGCCTCGTTCAATCTCTCCTTTAGTTCAATGAACCCTTTCTCACATTTGTCATCCCATACAAACTTAGCTCCTTTACGAGTGAGCTTTGTCAATGGTGATTCCAAAACGGAGAATTTCTCCACGAGCTTCCTGTAGTAGCCTGCTAACCCAAGGGAACCACGAATTTCCTTGACGTTCTTTGGTCTCTCCCATTCGGTAATGGCCCCTATCTTCTTATTATCAACAGCAATTCCCGATCCTGAAACCACATGCCCGAGAAAGCCAATTTCCTTTAGCCAAAATTCACATTTAGAAAATTTGGCATAAAGTTGCTTCTCCCGTAGTGTCTCAAGAACGAGTATCAAGTGCTCTTCATGCTCTTTCTTACTCTTTGAGTAAATCAAAATGTCATCTATGAACACAATCACGCATCGATCCAAGGATTTATGGAATACTCGGTTCATCAAGTCCATGAATGCTGCTGGGGCGTTTGTTAACCCAAACGACATAACAAGGAACTCAAAATGCCCATACCTTCTGCGGAAAGCACTCTTTGGTATGTCATCTTCCTTAATCTTCGATTGATGGTACCCCGACCTCAAGTCAATCTTTGAAAACATAGTTGCTCCTCGTAGTTGATCAAACAGGTCATCAATCCTAGGCAGAGGATACCTATTCTTGATTGTGACCTTGTTCAGTTGACGATAGTCAATGCACATTCGAAGTGTCCCATCTTTCTTTTTCACAAAAAGAACCGGTGCTCCCCACGGGGAGTGGCTTGGTCTAATGAAACCATTATCCAAAAGCTCTTGCAATTGGATTTTCAACTCGTTAAGTTCAGCGGGTGCCATACGGTATGGCGGTATGGAGATTGGTTTGGTGCCGGGCTCGACCTCGATCACAAATTCAATCTCCCTATCAGGTGGAAGCCCCGGCAGGTCCTTTGGGAAGACATCCGGGTACTTACAAACCACCCTCACATCGTCGATGTTCGTTTCCTCCTTGGTCTTGTCAACCACTTATGCTAGATAAGCGTGACATCCCTTTCTCATCATACTTCTCGCTCTCACAGCGGATATGATACAGCTGTTTGATTTGCCTCGGTCCCCCTCGAAGCGTAGGGTATCCCCATCATTGCCTTCGAGTCCCAAGACCTTTGTGTCGCAATCTACCCTAGCATGATGCTTTTCTAGTCAATCCATCCCTAGGATTGCATCGAACTCCATCATACTCAGCGGTACGAAATCACACGTCAAGGTTTGGCCACCGATTTCCACCATACAAGACTGATAGTACTTGGTTCTTTCAACGTCTTCCCTTAGTGGTGTTGATACCACTAAAGTTTGCGTCATTGGTATTGATTGTATCTCTGAGCCCTCGGCGAACGCCTCACTTACGAATGAGCGTTGCGCTCCGGTATCGATAAGGATTCGCGCATGCTTCCCATTAATCTTTAGTGTTCCTACATTTATAAGTCATGTGGGATACCTTTTCTAATGTTTTTACACATCATTAGGAGGTTATTAGGTTCATACTACTGTTTGGAATCAATCGGGGGTCCAAACGTAGAAGAACGGAGCGAAAAATGAGTTTTCGGTTGCCGGGGGTCCACGCACGGCGTGCCTGGGTGGCACGCACGGCCGTGCGTGCACAGGAGTCTCCCTGCCAGCCACTGCCTCCCAGGCACGGTGCCACGCACGGCGTGCCTGCGGCCGTGCCTGGCCGAATTTCCTCGAAGAGGCCACTGCCTCCCAGGCACGGTGCCACGCACGGCGTGCCTGCAGCCGTGCCTGGCCGGATTTCCTCAGAATGGCCACTGCCTTCCAGGCACGGTGCCACGCACGGCGTGCCTGCGGCCGTGCCTGGCCGGAACTCCTCAGCGAGACCACTGCCTCCCAGGCACGGTGCCACGCACGGCGTGCCTGCGGGCGTGCCTGGCCGGCAGTGGCTGTTTCCAGCCTGATTTGGCCTAACTCACCCGGTTTGGCCCCGGGGTGGCCCGCACTCAATCCCAACGACGTACATGATCAAAGTAAGCCTAAAAATGCCCAAAATAAGTGTATTACCTGTGACGGAGTCGGGATTAGCCCGAGCATCTGCCTCGGTCATTGCGTACACTCTCGCTTGAGTTCTTCCTTGGTTCACGGAGGGTGCGTTGCTTGTACTTGCCCCGCCGTGGCCCGCGCTTGCATTTGGTGCCCCATCCCGGTTTCTACTCACTGTGGTTGCACTGCTTGGTCCTGATGACCGGTCCCCACCAAGTTGAGGGCAATTGGGCCTTATGTGCCCCGTATCTCCGCATTGGTAGCACCGTGGGGGATCACGACATTTGCCCTCGTGATTTCTCTTGCAATTCCTGCACTTAGGCTTCGTCGAGGCTTGTAACCCCGAGTTTTGCCCACCCATGTTGGGATTCCCCCTTGATGGTGGTGCGGGTGCCCTGAAGGATCCTCCTCCCCCGTGATTCATCTTCTTGTTTGAACCTTGGGGGCCATGGTTCTCCCATTTTCTTTTCTTTGCCTCCTCGGCATTTCTTCGCTTCCTCTCTTCCCACTCCTTCTCTCCCTTCAAACCTTGTTCCACCACTTGACTAAATGTCATATTAGGCAATTGTGTTGCCCTCTCACGTATGTCAAGGTCCAAGGCATCCCAGAAATGGTTCACCATCCGATTTTCATCACAAATGTACTCCGGTATGAACTCAGCAAGCTTTCTGAACTTGTGTTCAAGTTCCTTCACCGTGCATTCCCCTCCTTGGGTCAAATTCGTGTACTCCCTCCTCTTCAAGTTCACCTCGAAGTCGGAGTAGTATTGGCTAAAGAATTCTTGCCTGAAGTTCTCCCAAGTGACCGCCTCACCGTACTTCCCTTTGACACCGTCCCACCACGTGGACGCCATTCCTTCTAGCAATCTTGTTGCCACTCTCATCTTCATATGGGGTGGCAGCTGCATATCAAGGGCCGCTTCATTGAATCTCTTGATCCACTCGGCCGCCACGGAGATGTCTCCCGTTCCATCAAACGGTTTACATCCCAAGTCTCTTGCCTCCTTTAGGTACTTTGAGATCCTTATGATAGGAACCTCGGCACCTCGACCTCCTCGGAGTTCAATGCTCTCCCTAGGAGTCGCGCGGCTTCCTCTCCTCGAAGCCCCTTCCAAAGCACGCCTTGCCCGGCGCCTTTGGCGATCTTGTTGGTATTGCCGGAGCAATTCCTCAATCCGTTCAAGAGCGTCATTATCATCACTCTCATCACTAGCATCATCGTGTTCCCCATCATATGGGGTGTCAACCGGCTCAGTTCCCGGTTGGTAAGTTGAATCCTCCTCGGACTCATAGTGCTCATCTATTGTTTCCACGTGACCGTCACTCACGGTCAGCGAGTGGCCTGCTCGGCCCTGTCCCCCAGACTCTCTTGATCCCCCCTGACTGCCACGTTGGGATCCTCCCAGCACCTGGCCAGTCGGGTTCCGTCGAGTCACTCTACCGGTGCGTTCCATTTCTGAAAGAAGTTTAGAATGAGCCATTAGGCTCGTATCAAATGTCAAGTGACGGATAGGTACTTAAAGACATCTTTTGGCTCAAATCACCGTCATACCAATTGTTAAGGGTACCATCTTAACAATTAGAGACTTTGCAACTCAAGTACCAAAAGTTCTATAAGTACAAAACTTTTATGCTCATGGTTTTCAAAATCATTTTCAAAAGGGATTTTGAAGCTTCATTATGAAGTTTACGGACTAAGGCTCTGATACCAATTAAATTGTCACGCCCCGGACCTACCGGACACGTCAACAACCCGCCGTACAGTACGAATAGTCAACCGCAGTCCAACTCATCCATACTATACTAGGCGTCTTGAATACCATTCACACATAGTACATCCATAAACAAACATAATGTAAAGTATTCATTTAAAGCAGCGGAAACATTAATACACGTATTCAAGCCACACGTGGCAAACATGGGCATACAAGCCCCCAAATAGTATTCAAAATAATTTCCATGAGCATTATTGTAATTGTTTAAAACAGAAACGGAAGAAGCACGAACCACGTCCTCCTCCTTTGATCTTCCCGAAGCAACGGGCGTGGTAGCAACCTTCAAGTCCTACCTGAAACTGTGAGGTGGCCTCCCCCGTGAAGGGGAGGTCAGTACTTGGAAGCATTTGACAAGTACAATGACAACTATACTAAGTATAATCAACGTTTCAATTTCCAAGACCCTCAAATAGAGTGATATTACAATATAGGTCGTAACTCGTGGTTACCCTCTTTACAAATATACTTACTTTATATATAAAGTCAAGTAATCGGCCGAAGGCTCATGTTTACTTTGAAAACATTTAACCCTTCCCCCGTGACTTCAAGCCACACCCATCTATATCAGTTTACCATGCTAGAGGCTTCCTCTAGTCATGTTTTGTCGTGCTAGAGGCTGACTCTAGTCACTACATTCGGTGTTAGAGGCTTCCTCTAATCACCTTACATACTTTGTGCTGGAGGCTTCCTCCAGTCACATTACATTATGCTAGAGGCTTCCTCTAGTCATCTTACACTACGCTAGAGGCTTCCTCTAGTCGTCCTACACGAATGCTGGAGGCTTCCTCCAGTCATTCCTCATCGTGCTAGAGGCTTCCTCTAGTCACGATACTACTCACTAAGCAAATTCTATGCCTAGGTTTTCTCTATCTTGAGTAGCCTATGAGGCCTACTCCTAATGTAATTTAGCGGTGACGTGCACTTTGTCGTGATGTGCACTCAAAATAATAATCAATACGACAATTATACGTAGTATAACGAAGTAAGGTTCGTATCCACAGGGAAAGGAATACTTCTCTCTTTATAAACTAGTAACAAGGGGGGGTTTAGGTTGAGTATATGAACTTAAATTGTATTTAAACACGAAGATGAACGAGTTATGTGGTTTAATTAATGAGAAGAAGACTTGGCTTTGCTTTTATCCACTTAATGAAATGTTCGTCGATCCCGGTTATATCTTTAACTATCTTCCTCTCGAATACTCAATCGAGGAGTATATCCAGTTCATCGAGGGTAGTTATTAATAACGAGAAGCGTTCATTAATAAAAACTTACTACCGAGTCAATATAGAACAAGCGCCGTATATTAACTTGATAATAGCAATAAAATCAAGATGAAAACGATTGAGATTGATAACCTCAACACAAGCGGTTTATTGGTTTAATCAATATAATTAATTCCCCTTGGCTTATTAACCATGAGAAGCATGCATTAACAACCCAAGTTTACTACCGTGAAAGGGTCGAATTAATAACAAGCGTATTAACCGACCGATTCTAGTAATAATTAATATATAGAACAAGACTAGTTGATACTTTAAGTAATGTTCAAAATATTAATATGAAATATGAATAGGAATTAATTAATATTCAAGGAAGAAGATTAAAGATAATAACTCACAACTTACAAATTCATTAAGCTTCAAAAGAGCAAAACCAAGATGGAAGAGTTTAGCTCCTCATTTGGAGACTAAACATGATGAAAAATATAAAGAAAGAACTTGTCTAAACTGAGCTAAGAAGTATATGTGAATTGGTGCCCCTATTGTGAAGGAAAGGAGGTGTATTTATAGGCTTTTTGAGATGTAGGTCGGGTACTCGATCGAGTATATACATATACTCGATCGAGTATGTGTAGAAATCAGAATTCGACCCATACTCGATCGGTTTTAGAGTAAATTTTATAACTATACCCGATCGAGTATGTCGGTGTACTCGATCGGGTATAGACACTCGATCGTGGGTAAATCTTCCTCTGCATGTTCCTTTGTTTTCGGATCCGATCCGATTTGAAATGTCAACCAGATACCCGATCGAGTATATATATATACTCGACCGAGTATAGACCAAAATCAGGATTTTTCCTTCTTTTTGTCTTGTACTCTTGCACCTTCCTTCACCATTGATCATTTGATTGATCTTGGACCTGTTTAAGCTCAGAATAAACCTAATCTAAACAAATTACAAAAATTTAACAAACTAAACTATTACACCGAAAGTGTGTAATTTCCGAAATATTAAACAATCAAAACTAACTAAAAACGTAAATAAACATACGGAAATTACAAACGTATCAACTCCCCCACACTTAATTCTTTACTCGTCCTCGAGTAAAGTCAAATGTTCAAACAGTTTAAGACCATTCCATGAGTTCAAGAAAGAAATGAACTAAGATCACCAAGAAATAAGAAAATGATTTTACAAACAACTTTCTTTCTTGGGTTTTATGATCTTCTATGCTCCATCTTCTTGCCTCTTCTTCTTTGCCTTCTCTTCTGTTCTCCTCAAGAGATCAAATGAGTTCCTGCACTCAACAAAAATTTCTCTCATATCTCTCATTTTGCCTAGGAGCCTTTTCAGGTTTTCATCCTAGCATCTCTTTTTGTTTTTCCATCCTCACTAACTCACTCATTTCATTTTTTTATAAGCCATTTTTTTGCTTAGAATGCCCATTTTTGGGTTTTCAACCTAACTAGCATTTCAATTCTTTTATCCATTTTTCTCTTCTTCTTTTTTTTTTTTTTTGTTTACAAAGGGTAAAAGAAATTCATGCATAGTAAAAGGTAGAAAATGAAATTACATACCATGAGTAATCTCCTCCCCCACACTTAGCTGAAGCACTGTCCTTAGTGCCCGCCTTCTCCGCCGTAGAAGCCGCCTCCAAAGCCGCTTCCAAAGTTGCCGTCTCCCATGTGAGTATCCCCGCCATCAAAACCGCCACCTCCGGAGCTCGATCCTCCAAAGTTGCCCCATTGAGTGGGGTCATACCAAGAGGGGGGTGGGGGTGGGTGAGCCATGGTATGGAATTGGCCTTGATGAGCCATGTAAGAGTACATAGGTCCATAAAACCTACGTTGATCTTCTTCATATCTGCGGTTGTCTTCGGCCCGTTGCTCCTCTAGTCTTTGAAATCCCGCCCTTTGTTCCTCCCGATATTTACCAACTTCATTGGTAACTTTGTTGAGTCCTTCAAGCATTTGTTGGAAGTAATCGGGAGGTGGGGGGGCTTGGTTTGGGGCGGGAAGGTAGTGATGTGCAACCTCGGGTTCTTGGTACTCGGGTTGAGGTTCTTGGTCGGGTTGGTCTTCTGGGAGATCTTGGGCTTGTGGTTCTTGGAGATGTGGTGGAAGGGCATGAGGGAATAGGAAATGGGGCACCTCGAACTCCGGTCTATAGGTTATTTTGGGGAGGTCTCTGTTTGGCATTAGAAAGTATTGGACCGGTTTGGTGTGTATGATCCAATTATACATGTTCTTCTGTTGATCCCCATCATAGACCGTATGGGAGAAAGCGGTGCACCCCGAGCGGCCTAGCCAACCTATGTCCATCAAACAATAGTCGGGTATCGGAGAGTTATCCGTATACCCGAACTTGCTTGCCAAGTGCATGATTACTCCACCCATTACAATGGCTCCTTTTGCCACGCTTTCCTTTTTGAGGTGTGCCCAAATGAGATTGCACAAATTGAAGTCCACATGACGACGAAATAAAGCTACGGAGATCAAACACACATCCCCTATTCTAGTGTGATGGTTGTTGGGACGGCCAAGCAAGCAATTCGCCAAGAATTTTAAAAACAACCGGAGGATGGGGTGTTGGACATGACTTATATACATTTGGGAGGAGCTAAAGTCCACTTCCCCAGTCATCTTGGTCCATAGAGAATGCCCAAAAATGGTGTTATCGGAGATGGACCTTTCGTAGGGGACGGGGATGCCAAAATGTTCGGAAAACTCGAGTTTCGTTATCAAATAGTTTCGGTTAAACAGACGAAACTCGAGTCTATCATCCCTAAAATCCGCCTCATCACTTTCAAAGTGCACTGAACTCATGAATTCATAAATAATCTTTTCATTTGAGTTGTATCTCATATTGAAAACAAGGTCCATGTCCAATTGATGAAAGAATTTCCTCATAATCTTATACACTCCTAATTCACGTAGTGCGTCATGGCATAGAAAACGGGACGGTTTTACTTGCCTTTTTGTTGTCGATAGGAGGCGAGTTCGGTGTTCGGCGTTGGCGGGAATGATGTCTTCAAAGCCCGGGATAGGTGCTATAGTGCTTGAGCTCTCTCCCCTATTCCTCCTTGGTGCCATATGTGAAGCTTTTGAGCTTAAAGAGGCAAAAATTCGAATGGGGTAGGGTTTTTTTTTGGATTTGTTGGATATTTGGGGAAAAGGGGATTTTTGGGTATAGATATGGAGAGGAGAGTGAGGGGGGTATTTTGGTGGTGAAATGGGATGATTTGGTGAAGGATTGGGTGAGATATGGTAGAGAGAAGGTCCAAAAATGGAGTTTTGGGGGAGGGTTGTTCGAAGTTGGGGAGAGTTTGGGGAAGATGAAGTGTTTTTGGGGTTAATTTGGTGTTATATCCGCAGGGGTACCCGATCGAGTATCCCTGTATACCCGATCGGGTACCGGAGGCAGGGTTCCAGGAAGGCTGATTTCGGTGTATACTCGACCGAGTATGTACCTATACTCGATCGAGTATAGGAGGCAGGGGGTCAGAGAAGTTGTCTTTGCACCTATACTCGACCGAGTATTGATATGTACTCGATCGGGTATAGGAGGCAGGGGTTATTTGTTTTCATTTTTCCACCAATACTCGATCGAGTATGGGTATGTGCTCGATCGGGCCTCAGAGGCAGGCTTCCGATGGAGTTGATTTTCCAGGCATACTCGACCGGGTATGTTCCAATACTCGATCGAGTATGCCTGTATTTTTGAAAATAGATTTGCACCTCGATCGAGTATGGGAACCGGGTCCTTTTTTTTTACCCATACCCGACCGAGTATTGATATAGTACTCGATCGGGCATGTCCCCACATACACTTTTTGCTCATTTTTTTATTTTTTATTTATTGAAACACACACATAATGAAATAAGCTGACAAGAAAACATACCTTGCTTGGGTTGCCTCCCAAGAAGCGCCTAATTTAACGTCGCGGCACGACGCCATGGTATAGTTCATCCTTCATAGATTGGATCGACGAGATCCATGCATTCAACGCTTTCTTTTGAAAAACTTTCAAGGAACGGTTTGAGTTGATGTCCGTTAACCTTGAGGATTTTGCCGGTGTCCAGGCTCTTTATTTCAACTGCTCCGTGGGGGTAGACTTTGACTACCTCGAATGGTCCTTCCCATCGTGACCTCAATTTACCGGGGAAAAGACGAAGGCGTGAGAGAAAGAGAAGGACTTTGTCTCCGATTTGGAAGTCCTTTCTCATTATCATTTTATCATGCCATACCCTTGTCTTTTCCTTGTAGATGGCGGCGTTCTCATAGGACTCAAGTCGAAGTTCCTCTAGCTCTTGGAGTTGTAGCTTCCTTTGTATTCCCGCTTGTTCCATGTCAAGATTGAATGTTTTTACCGCCCAATAAGACTTATGTTCGAGTTCGACCGGGAGGTGGCAAGCCTTCCCGAACACAAGTCTATAGGGAGACATTCCAATTGGTGTTTTGAAAGCGGTTCTATATGCCCACAAGGCATCATCCATGCGAAGACTCCAATCTTTACGGTTAGGGTTCACCGTCTTTTGGAGTATAGATTTCAACTCCCTGTTCGAGACCTCGGCTTGGCCGTTTGTTTGTGGGTGGTAGGCGGTGGAGAGCTTGTGGGTGACGCCATATTTTTTTAACAAGGCACTCACAGTTTTGTTGTAGAAATGAGTGCCCCTATCGCTTATCAAAATGCGTGGAACTCCAAACCTTGAGAAGATACGGGTTTTGAGGAAGTCCGCAACTACTTTGGCATCATCGGTCTTTGTGGCTTTTGCTTCCACCCATTTTGAAACGTAGTCCACTGCCAAGAGAATGTATAGATTTCCGTGGGAATTAGGAAAAGGTCCCATGAAATCTATTCCCCAAACATCAAATATCTCTACATAGAGCATAGGAACTTGCGGCATCTCATGTTTTCGAGAGATGTTTCCCATGCGTTGGCAATTGTCACAAGATTGACAAAAGAAATGGGCATCTCGAAATAAGCTTGGCCACCAAAAACCGCATTCAAGTACCTTCATGGCCGTTCGCTTTCCTCCAAAGTGGCCACCACATGCATGTGAGTGGCAAAAGGCAAGAATGGACGTTATCTCCGTTTCGGGAATGCATCTCCTAATGACTTGATCTTTGCAATGTTTCCACAAGTATGGTTCATCCCACACGTATTGTTTTGCATCGTGTTGGAGCTTCTCTCTTTGAGCTTTAGAGAAGCTTGGTGGAAACCTGTTTAGAACAAGGAAATTAACAATGTGAGCGTACCAAGGCCGAATTTCCTTAAGAGAAAAAAGAGTCTCATCGGGAAATTCCCCTCGGATATCATCTTTGATATGATCATTTCCTTCATCAAGGACTAAACGGCTCAAGTGATCGGCCACCAAGTTCTCCATGCCCTTCTTATCCTTGATCTCAACATCAAATTCGCTCAAAAGTAGTATCCACCGAATCAACCTTGGTTTGGCCTCCTTCTTTGTCATTAAGAACCTAAGAGCCGCATGATCGGTGTAAATGATCACTTTGGTTCCAAGTAAGTATGACCTGAATTTTTCAAGCGCGTAGACGACGGCCAACATTTCTTTTTCGGTGGTGGCGTAGTTACGTTGGGCATCATTGAGAGTGGTGGATGCATAGTATATCACATGAGATGCTCTTCCCACCTTTTGGCCCAAAACGGCCCCGACCGCATAGTCGCTAGCATCACACATGATCTCAAATGGAAGAGACCAATCGGGAGCTTGGATGATAGGTGCGGTTACTAGCTTTTCCTTCAACGTATTGAAGGCCTTCTTGCATTCCTCGGAGAAGATGAATTCCACCTCCTTTTGCAAAAGTGTGCATAAAGGAGATGCAATCTTTGAGAAGTCTTTGATGAATCTCCGATAAAAACCTGCATGTCCAAGGAATGATCGTATCTCCCTAACGGTGGTAGGATAAGGGAGTGATTGGATGACTTCAACTTTGGCCTTGTCAACCTCTATCCCTTTGGATGAGATTACATGGCCTAGAACAATTCCTTCTTCCACCATGAAGTGGCATTTTTCAGAATTCAAAACAAGGTTTGATTCTAAACAACTTTTGAGCACAAGGGAGAGATGATATAAGCATGAATCAAATGAGTCCCCATGGATTGTGAAGTCATCCATGAAAACTTCCATAAATAGCTCAACATATTCGGAGAATATGCTCATCATGCATCTTTGGAAGGTGGCGGGTGCGTTGCAAAGTCCGAATGGCATACGTCGATAGGCAAAAGTGCCAAATGGACAAGTAAATGTTGTCTTCTCTTGATCTTCAGGGGCTATGGGTACTTGAAAGTACCCGGAATAGCCATCAAGGAAGCAATAGAATTTATGCCCCGCAAGTCTCTCAAGCATTTGATCAATGAAGGGTAAAGGAAAGAAATCCTTTCTAGTTACCGCGTTGAGGCGACGGTAATCTATACATACCCTCCATCCATTTTGAATTCGGGTGGGCATAAGTTCTCCATGTTTGTTCTCCACCACCGTGACTCCGGTCTTCTTGGGAACAACTTGGGTTGGACTAACCCACTTGCTATCGGATATGGGGAAGATTATCCCCATTTGGAGAAGCTTGATGACCTCCTTTTTGACCACCTCCATCATAGGTGGGTTCAATCTCCGTTGTGGTTGGCGCACTGGTTTAGCTTCATCCTCCATCAAGATGCGGTGCATGCAAGTAGATGGACTAATGCCTTTAATGTCGGCTATAGTCCACCCGATTGCAAGTTTGTGCTCTTTAAGCACCGCAATCAGCTTTTCTTCTTGCTCCCCGGTCAGTTTGTTTGAGATGATGACCGGTAATGTTTCTTTTTCTCCCAAGTACACATATTTCAAATGTGTTGGGAGTGGTTTCATCTCAACTTCGGGGGCCTGCAAAATAGAAGGCAAAGGCTTCTCCTCGGGGATGGTTAGTGGGAATGCTCTTGACCCCGGTGGCATAAGTGGAAGTTGGAAGTGGTTATCCAACTCCACCATCATGGCTTGCCTATTGGGGGTCAAAGCAAGTTCTAAAGAATTTTCCCCGAGGTCATTCTCAATTACACTTAGTAGGTCATCCTCCCCATTCATTTCAAAAGTATTTTGCACAATGGGATCTATAACATCAATGGCAAATAGAGAATGATTTTCATTTGGGTATTTCATGGAGTCGTAAATATTGAATTCAACTTTATCTCCATCAAATTCCAGAGTTAAAGATCCGCTAAAAACATCAATTTTAGCTCTAGCGGTCTTTAAAAATGGCCTTCCTAAAAGGATAGGAACCGCATTCTTGTCATTTTCCATTTCTAAAACATAAAAGTCGGCGGGAAAGATCAAATTGTCTACCATAACTAGTACGTCTTCGACAATACCTTTAGGGTAGGCGTTTGATCTATCTGCAAGTTGGATAACTACTCCGGTTTCGTTTAAAGGGCCAAGTTCAAGTGATTTGTACAAAGAATAAGGGATGACATTAATTGATGCCCCCAAATCTAACATGGCCTTTGAAAACGTAGTACCTCCCAACTTACAAGGTATAGTGAACATGCCCGGGTCATTGTATTTTTTTGGAAGTTTCTTTTGAAAAACCGCGGAGACACGTTCACTAACTTGAACTTTCTGTTTCCCATTGAGTCTATGCTTTCTTTTTATTGTGCATAACTCCTTAAAGAATTTTGCAAATCTAGGAACACCTTTTATTAAGTTGAGAAGAGGAATATTTACCTCACATTTGGAGAACGTCTCATAGATGTCCTTGTCTTTCTCCACCCTTTTTGTTTCCCTTAGAGCTTCGGGAAACGGTGCTTCCACTTCATGAATAACCGGGGGTGGAGTTGAAATGTGAGCTTCCTCCTCCTCCGGCTGAGCTTTCTCCACAAGCTCTTCTTCCTCTTCCTCGCCAATGTGGCTTTTGGCTTTCTCCTTGGCAATCACCAACTCTTTGCCACTCCTTAATGTCACCGCATGGGCTTGTTGCCTCGGATTCGGCTCCGTTTGAGATGGAAGCTTTGTTGAATCCTTGGCTTCAAGCCTACTCACCGCACTTGAGATTTGGCTCATTTGATTCTCAAGGTTTTGGATGCTTGATTTTGTCTCATGTTGGAATTGAACCATGTTTTGTTGCATGGTTGAGACATTTGAGGTGAGTGCTCGGATCATGTCTTCGGTGGACATAGTTGAGCCTTGGCCTTGGGGTTTAGAGTACGGTTGTTTTGGAGGAAATTGGTTTTGTGGAGGGTTATTTTGTGGTGGGTTTCCTTGCGGATTCCCATATCTCAAATTGGGATGATCTCTAAACCCGGGATGATAAGTGTTGCCGTAAGAATCATACCTCTTTTGGTTTGGGAACCCCAAAGCGTTGACCTGCTCGGGGTTTTCTTCTTGAAGGCTCGGGCATGCATCGGTGGGATGGCCTTGTTGTGTGCAGATGCCGCAGACCTTGACTTCTTGGGTTTTGGAATTTAAAAGAAAATCCTTTACCAAAGAAGTCAAGCCGGCAACTTGACTTTCTAGAGATGATGTTGATTCGGCCGCCATGACTCTTTTTGTTGATGACCGCCCGTTGTGATATCTACAATTCTCGGCCAACTCCGAGATAAGATTCATAGCTTGAGAAGGAGTCTTGTTAACGATCCCTCCTCCACATGCGGCATTAATCATCCGTCTATCATCATTGCAAAGACCATCATAAAAGTATAGGATGAGGTCTTGCTCCGAATAGCCATGATACGGACAGCTTGCACAAAGTTTCTTGAATCGTTCCCAATATTCATAGAACGATTCATCATCTTTTTGCTCCACATTGCTTATTTGCTTTTTTAGAGATGAGGAGACAGAGGCTGGATAGTACCTTTCGAGGAAAGCTTTCTTCATGGCCGCCCATGTATCTATACTTCCCGAAGGAAGATAGAATAGCCAATCTTTTGCGGTATCTTTGAGGGAGAATGGAAAGGCCCTCAACTTTATCTGTTCCTCGGTGACTCCATTAGGGCACATGCTCGTGCAAACAACATGGAATTCCGAGAGATGTTTATTTGGGTCTTCTCCTCTTAAGCCATGGAAGGATGGCAAAAGATGAATGAGCCCTGATTTGAGCTCAAATGTATTACCCTCGTTGAGTGTAGGGAAGGTAATACACAACGGTTGTTGGTTCAAGTTCGGAGCTGTGAGCTCCCTCAAAGTTCTTGTTTCAAGAGCCATAGTTATTGGCTCTTCGTTCTCGCTAGAACAAGAACTAGTGCTTGATGATTCCTCCGAAGAGGTATTCGGAAATAAGTTCCTAAACCTCTCGAAGGCTTGTTCCGATTCGGGATTTGTTTGGTAGGTGATTTGGTTTATAGATCGGTGTTTAACCATATACTCAAACAAAGCTCAGAAATAGGGAATAAGAACTCTTTTATATTTTTATTTAATTAAATTTTTATTTTTATTTTTCTTGAAATAGAAAGAAAAATAATTGCCTTTCCCCGGCAACGGCGCCAAATTTGACGTGCACTTTGTCGTGATGTGCACTCAAAATAATAATCAATACGACAATTATACGTAGTATAACGAAGTAAGGTTCGTATCCACAGGGAAAGGAATACTTCTCTCTTTATAAACTAGTAACAAGGGGGGGTTTAGGTTGAGTATATGAACTTAAATTGTATTTAAACACGAAGATGAACGAGTTATGTGGTTTAATTAATGAGAAGAAGACTTGGCTTTGCTTTTATCCACTTAATGAAATGTTCGTCGATCCCGGTTATATCTTTAACTATCTTCCTCTCGAATACTCAATCGAGGAGTATATCCAGTTCATCGAGGGTAGTTATTAATAACGAGAAGCGTTCATTAATAAAAACTTACTACCGAGTCAATATAGAACAAGCGCCGTATATTAACTTGATAATAGCAATAAAATCAAGATGAAAACGATTGAGATTGATAACCTCAACACAAGCGGTTTATTGGTTTAATCAATATAATTAATTCCCCTTGGCTTATTAACCATGAGAAGCATGCATTAACAACCCAAGTTTACTACCGTGAAAGGGTCGAATTAATAACAAGCGTATTAACCGACCGATTCTAGTAATAATTAATATATAGAACAAGACTAGTTGATACTTTAAGTAATGTTCAAAATATTAATATGAAATATGAATAGGAATTAATTAATATTCAAGGAAGAAGATTAAAGATAATAACTCACAACTTACAAATTCATTAAGCTTCAAAAGAGCAAAACCAAGATGGAAGAGTTTAGCTCCTCATTTGGAGACTAAACATGATGAAAAATATAAAGAAAGAACTTGTCTAAACTGAGCTAAGAAGTATATGTGAATTGGTGCCCCTATTGTGAAGGAAAGGAGGTGTATTTATAGGCTTTTTGAGGTGTAGGTCGGGTACTCGATCGAGTATATACATATACTCGATCGAGTATGTGTAGAAATCAGAATTCGACCCATACTCGATCGGTTTTAGAGTAAATTTTATAACTATACCCGATCGAGTATGTCGGTGTACTCGATCGGGTATAGACACTCGATCGTGGGTAAATCTTCCTCTGCATGTTCCTTTGTTTTCGGATCCGATCCGATTTGAAATGTCAACCAGATACCCGATCGAGTATATATATATACTCGACCGAGTATAGACCAAAATCAGGATTTTTCCTTCTTTTTGTCTTGTACTCTTGCACCTTCCTTCACCATTGATCATTTGATTGATCTTGGACCTGTTTAAGCTCAGAATAAACCTAATCTAAACAAATTACAAAAATTTAACAAACTAAACTATTACACCGAAAGTGTGTAATTTCCGAAATATTAAACAATCAAAACTAACTAAAAACGTAAATAAACATACGGAAATTACAAACGTATCAAGCGGTTACCCATTCCTACCTTAAGACATCTCATAAGACTACTTAAGGTGCATCCTTCACAATCCAAGCCCTTAGGATTTGTTCTATCACTTTTTACACTAACATTCCCAACTAGTGAATTCAATACTAATCCATTAGTCTTTAAACAACCAAGATCTTTAATTCATTGTTATAAGGCTCATTCCTACGGATCTCCCACTCCGTGTATGATTTAATCTCAATATAAAAATATCACTTTTATCCATTCATGATTTCTATACATGAAGTAAAAGTATATTTTATCACATAAATTCATGGTTTGTACAATCATTATACCATCATATTTGTAATGCATCATCATACACAATTTTCTCATAAACTTGTATGTTATGCATCTTCTATTCACAAACAATAATATTTCCATTTAGGCATTACTAATCATTAATAACCTATGAAAATCACATTTAATTACTTTAGGTAATCTTATGAAATTAACCCAAAGATTATAAACAATATAGTCGGTCATCCTCACCTCAAATGAGCTTTAAAACTTTCCTTCTCGATCCAATGACCAAAGCCTCGACCAAGAAAGATTGAGGACTGATTCCTTGCTTGGAATTGAGTGTTAAACAGCCTCTTCAAAGTGCTAGTTCAACTCCTAACCGAAGACACAAAAACAGTCCCTAGAACGGGTGTTTCCCGACGAAATCGTTCCCTAACCTTTCAAGGTTTTGTCTAGATTAGTATCTAACTTTTCCAACAATTAAAGTCACTTTATAATAACATTTTATACACTTCAATCAGTGTATAATAATTCTTCAATCATTTATATGGTTTAGACAATAGAGAGGAAGGTTTTGGATTCAAACTTACTTTGAATACAAAAACGTATTCCGCGAGGTTGTGTTTTGCTCGGACGATTTGAAAGCCTTCCACTACTCCGATTGATGCAAACCAGACCTTCACGGATTCCTCGTCTTGAGAGCTTTCTGTGGGTATCTCGCACGCCTTATTTGGATGTGTATAACTCGAGATATGAAGCAAACAAGTAACCTTACGCACTGGAAAACGAACCTGCGGCAGCTTCCCCTTCCTCTTGCTTTCTTGGTTGTGTGGCTCTCTCTTTCTCCCTTATCCTTGGGAGTTCGAATGAGGGGCTTAAGGGAGTGTCCAAGACCCTTCAATAAGGGTGGATAAGTTGTGTGGAGTGAAATGAATTGGTATGGTCTCCATGAGATGTTTTTAGACATGGGTGGGTCTCACTTTTGATCTCTTTGTCATAAGATGTCTCTTTGTACTCATTCTAATTTATTTGGAACAAGTCAACTCTCTACATCATATTATTGATCTCCAATATGTGTATGATCATCCCAATAATTTACATGATGAATATTATAGAAGAAAAACCCTACTCCCATTATTTAGCTCAATAATGCCAAAGATGGGGTTATAGGCATTTGTATTCTTCTCAAATCATCCTATCACTTATTTTGACATTTGCCATTCATATTATTAGGCTACAAGCCGTGTGGGTCGCCCCCGAGTGGGCCTACGACGCCATTCTCGAATACTTGCTATTCTAGCGGGTTGAGCCCAAAATAATATCTGGGCCGCCCGCCCTTCCTCAACTTGTCTTCAAACGTTATGTATTAATATTTAGATAATGTTAGGCTCTTTTATTTATTAATAAGGCCCGATACTTATATACGAGTTCGAACAGTACAATAATCGATCATTAATTACGTAAAACATTAATCGTTTTACAATCGTTTGGGAATCAGAAATCCAATACATAACTTTGAATTTTAAAATCAAATTTTCAAGGACGTTCGGGTGCGGTGTCACAGAAACACAATCCACCCCGCCAGACACAGATGATGGTGGCTCTTCTCAGATGGTTCCTACTGTTCGTAGATCTGAACGAGGGCATATACCATCGACAAGGTACACATCATCTGAATATCTTTTGTTAACTGAAGATGGAGAATCGGAGAGTTTTCAAGAAGCTGTATCTCATAAGGATAAAGAAAAATGGCTAATAGCAATGCAGGATGAGTTAGAATCTCTGCAGAAAAATCAAACCTATGAGATCGTAGAACTTCCTAAAGGGAAGAAAGCGCTGAGGAACAAATGGGTGTTCAAGCTGAAGAAGGATGCAAGCGGACAAGTGGTGAAACACAAAGCTCGGATGGTTGTCAAAGGGTTCCAGCAAAAGAAAGGAATTGACTTTGATGAGATCTTTGCACCAGTTGTCAAGATGACTTCAATCCGAGTTATACTTGGCTTGGCAGCAAGTATGAACTTGGAGCTTGAACAGATGGATGTGAAGACAACATTTCTTCACGGAGATTTGAAAGAAGAAATCTACATGCAACAGCCGGAAGGTTTTGAGAACTCAAATGATAACTTTGTGTGTAAGTTATCTAAAAGTTTGTATGGCTTGAAGCAGGCACCAAGGCAGTGGAATAAGAAGTTTGAC